TTTCAACAATAGTCAATTTGAAATCGATGATGATTGGGAGGACTGCTATGGTGCATTGACGATCCGTAAATCGAAATTTCCCGATATGAAGAAACTGACAGATGACTTAAAGGCGAAAGGCTTTCGGGTCACGCTGTGGATTCATCCGTTCATCAATAAGAACTGCGAACCCACTTATAGCGAGTCACTCAACAAGGGGTAAGCATACTGGCAAAGAAGAATTGACTAGATTTATTAGACTTTTAACTCGGGTGTAATTGAAATTGTTTGGTTTTTTAGTTACTTAATCCTTGATCATAATGGCAATCCCGATACGCAATGGTGGAACAGCGGCGAGAAGGAGGCTGCTTATGTTGACTTTACAAAAGCGGAAGTGCGCACTTGGTTCAGCGACCGTTTGAAAAAATTGCAGGACGAAGGTGGCATTGACAGTTTCAAATTCGACGCTGGCGAGACAAGTTGGATGCCAGAAGATCCAGTACTGCAGGGAGACTTAAGCCTCTCGCCAACACAAATGACACGCGACTATGTGCGTACCGTAGCGGCTTTTGGCCCCCTAGTCGAAGTACGTTCCGGTCAGAATACACAGGATTTACCTATTTTCGTACGTATTGTCGATAAGGACTCTGTATGGGGTTGGAATAACGGTTTAATAACGCTCATAACAACATTATTGCAAATGAATTTGAACGGATATCCGTTCGTGCTGCCCGACATGATTGGCGGCAATGGATATGACGGCCCACCAACTAAAGAACTGTTTCTGCGTTGGCTGCAAGCAAATGTTTTCATGCCGAGCTTGCAATTTTCATACGTACCATGGAACTTCGATGATGAGGCTACTGAGATCAGTAAAAAATTTGTAAAAATGCACGAAGATTTCGCGCCTGAAATTATTAAACGTTTCAAACTAGCAACGGAAACCGGTGAACCCGTAAATCTGCCTCTCTGGTGGGCCGATCCAAGCGATAAAGTTGCTCAAAGCATATATGATCGTAAGTTGTATTTAATACTACTCTGATTTAAGAAAAAAAAAAACAAGCAACTTTTTTTCAGAATTTCTTCTTGGCGACGACATCATTTCTGCACCTGTTGTTCAAGAAGGTGCTATCACACGCGACATTTACTTGCCTAAAGGACAATGGAAAGACGGCAATACCAAAGAAGTACACAATGGTCCTAAATGGTTAATGGCATACAGTGCGCCTTTAGACATTCTACCGCATTTTTTGCGCGTACAGGATTAAAGTGTAGGCAGCAATTATTCTTAATATTATATAAAAAAAAAAAATTATTTCTAAATAAACTAAAGCGTAAATTTAAACTTTGATATTTATAAAACTATATTAAAATATTGGCATTATTCAAAATTTCTTAATTAATATTTACAATGTTTTTTTTTGTTTATGCAAAAATTAAATCATAACTACACCGTATATACACAAATTACAAAAGATTGCTTAGGTAAATCACAGATAAATTTTGTTCAGTAATACGATATAAATTAGTCAACTTGCAGATCGTCAAGTGACACAGTCTCCAAGGAATCATAAAGTATATCTTTAATATACTTCAATTCGTTACGATCACTATGCAAAGCTTCTTGTTCCTCTTCTAGAATCTCTTCCAAACATAGACTAAATAATAAAAATGTGCTTAAAAGTGTGTCTTAATGTGTGAAAATCTCTTTCTTAAAGTGCTTACTCAACTTCTACACCTTTCTTTTCTTCCAATGTTGCCTCTTTCTGTTTCAGCAAAGTCATTTGCAACACATGCAGTTCTCGTGCCGACTTCGACCACTGTGCTTTATAATAATCTTTGGCTTTCTCAATGTCTGCAAAACGTTCCGTCTGTTTTTGCTGTAAATATTCATTTGCAATTATTGATCAGTTTTTTAAGTAAATAACCATATTTGTGATATATTACTAAATCTGCAAGCATTCCTTGCAGTTGTTCTGCAGAGAAATGAGTTTTCTCCATAGCCGTCAATTGGTTTTCCAATTGATCAATTCGCTTCTTCATTTCCAGCTTTTCAGACTCAGACTCTAAACCAATCACGTCGGCTGCTTGACACTTTTGCTGTGCTTGTTCCACTTCACGTTCTGCACTTTCTGTGGCACGCAGCTGCATTTCGTGCTTGAGTCGTTGCATCTCATCGTCTAATTGCTGAAACTTCTCCGCATAACTTCTTTCAATGTCCTGTTTCACTGTCTGTACGATGCTAATGGTCTCCTGATGCTTTAATGCATTTGAATTTATTTCTGCATGAGCCTGTTCTAATTCTGCATTCAATCTCTCACATTCGGAAAGTTTTGCTTCTAGTCTAGCTTGTAGTATCGACCGTTGCTGCTCCCATTCTTTATTAAGTTCGCCTAAATATTCGACTTCCTTTTGTTCCAAACCTTTAACAAAGTGTTCCATTTGCTGTGCTTTCCATTCCTCTAATTCCCTAATAATTCTCATTGTCATTTCCTCAGGATCGGTCTCTAACGGATCGGTATTAACGCCAATAGATCGATTTTGGGGTTTAATTGGCATGTAACTTGCCCTTGAAATTTCAATATTGGAAATGCTTTCCAGAGATTGTACCTGTTCATTGTCGGAGTAATTAGATAATATTGGTCTACTTAGCCGACGTGCCAAAGGATCAGTGCTTCTGCATAAATCTTCCGACGATTTGGCAAATAGTTCAGAATTTTCCCCCAGAACACGTCCAATTATAAAAGCGTCTGTTTGCATTTTCATATAATTCCGTTCGTACGTTTCGAAATTGGCAAAATTGCGACTACTTATTTGTCCCGGGTCATAAGGAGCGCGCTTTTGTTGCAAAGTATTAGGAAAATCCAAGCTTCGATAGCACTCTGTAATGTCAGCTGCTCCCTTTTCATCGATTTTATACGAAGCGTAAGCTTCAGTCAGTGGCCCATGCTCTAGGTTTAATTTTTTTGAAAAGTTTGTCACAAGTTGCATGCTAAAAATATATTCCACTGAAGGCTTCGGCATTCTAGGACTTAAAATTTTATTTATACGGTCGAAATGAAAGGTACCATATTTTGTAAAAGTCTTGCTCGTGTTGAAATAGTTATCTTCTGGCAATAACTTGGAAAAATCCAACCGAAAGTTTCCTAAAATATCAATATAAAATACCATGTATATGTATGAGTATCATATGCTTGCGTATACGCATGTTTTATTAGACAATCTCTAAAATGCAACATGTCTATATACTTACCCACAACCGTGTTATTGACGAAAATGCTTATTGGTATAAAAAATATCCGTTGAAAGTATAATCGTAAGCTCTTCAGTGACGACTTAAATGTCAGCGAAACTTTTTCATTGATAGCATAGCAATCCGACTGATTTACTATCATTTCCAGCTGCGAAGTGCTCCCTAAAAATTCATAGTGAAAAACAAAAGCGCTAGTTTGACGGTGGAAGTTCTTCTCCATTTCCAGCACTTTCAATAGATTCTTTACTTGTTTAAATGTTAAAGTCACATTGAAAATGTCACAATCCACATCTGGATTGTTGCCCACTTGGATGAGCCCTACTTGTTCCAGAAGCTGAACATATACATTACTTTGTGACTGTAACATTAGTGATGTTTCATACGATTTCGGAGAAATTCCTTCATTAAGCAAACCTTTTCTCTGCGGAAAACCCCTTTAATATCAAATTACAGTATTACTCATTTTTTATAATCACTACCTTCCCCAAAAACACTTCAAATTGGCCATTATCAATAAGATTCTTTTTTACGATCACTAAAAGCAAAGAAATCTCCGGTTTATTTTGCCGCCATTCCGAACTTAGTACATTAAGTTTATGCCAATGTAGTTTCAACTAAAAAAAAAACAAACAAATATAATACCAGTATTTATATATTAGTATAAACTGTACCTGCACGTTCTTCAATGCCGCTATTACTGGAACCCCTCTGATTGGTAAAAGCAATGATCCAATTCCTCGACGAGGAGATGTATCCGTTTTACCACTTTTAATAAAGATTTCCAGTTTAACTGGCCGATTGTCTGTTTTCATTCTATTAAAAATTAACGAAGTTAGATCACAATTAAATAAATTTATTAATACCACTTTCGAACCGTTTAATATCACTGAGCTCACACTCCCAAATACAATTGCTGTTAAAGATGGTCACAGTTTCTGTAGAGTGACCCTCTATTTCAAATTTCACACCATTTAAAGAGGCAGTAAGTATAACCTTATCCTTGTGTCGTTCTGTGAAATCTCCTACACCATCAGGACGATGAAGGCCAATTCCTGGTAACAATAAGAATTTAACAAAAGCTATGCAATTGAGCACAGGAACGCTCACCTTCTACAAGATGTAAAAATATGCAAAATGTATTATCGGCGGATTCGGAAGCATCGCTCTCCGAGGCGGAGTAAGCATTGTTGCTCATATTACACGTGCGCGTAATATGTAATCCTTTTTTCGATCTATATTTTGAAAAAAATATAAGAAATCTTAATTGAAATATACGTATGAATCGAATAAGTATAACGATATTTTTAAATTTTTCCGAAAGGAGAGTGGGAAAACAATGCTTCTTCTAAATTTTTTTAGTTCACAATTATGTGTTTATCATTCAAGTGTTGGAAAATACACCAATAATTCATTGAATAAAAAATTTTCGCATAACCATTTTTTTGTCAAGTTATTTATTGCCTCCTATATAAGACATCTATTTTTTATTGAAAATGAAAGTTCCCGATTCTTTAAAATGTCATGATGGATATAAAATGTTAAATGATGAGATAGCAAGTAGCAGATATTTGTTATTTAATTGCAGGTGTAGACTTTTGGATTAATTATTGAGCGAAGTTAGGTAAAAACAAGCAAATCTCTTTTATTTTTTAATTTAAAGATGTAAAACTAAAACCATTGAACCTTTTGCAAAGTTATTAAATAAAAACCTCTTATATTTTTATTACATCAATATATTTTAATTTGTTATATAATGATAAATATATAATTTGTTTTGAATAGAATAAAGAAAAAAATATTGCAACTACAATTGTATCTATTCCCAGCAGCTTTCGTAACGTTCATGAAAAACTTTTTTACAAAAGTATTAAGCTATTACCCTGCTCATCCAATTGCAATACGCTGCTCGGTTGTTTCTTTACATCAGAAACGTATTTAATTTCCTCTTCTTCAAAATGTCCGCGCAATGTGCGATGATTTTTTAATGCAGTTCCTTGAATAAAACCTTCATTGCAAATATTGCACACATATGGACGTTCTCCAGTATGGCGACGTACATGCAAAGCAAGATCATTAGATTGTGTAAAGCTTTTCTCGCAAAATGAACACTTGTACGGCCTTTCGCCAGAATGTATACGCATGTGGGTATGCAACTTATAGGAGCGTGAAAACGACTTGTCACAAACTGTGCAACGATGGGGTTTTTCACCCGTATGTGTACGCCGATGGCATGCCAAATCAGATGAGCGTGGAAATGCTTTATCACAAAATTCACACTGAAATGGTTTCTCGCCTGTGTGGCGTCGCATGTGAACAATCAAGTTAGATGAGGAGCTCACAGCACGCCCACAAAATGCACAAAGAAACTTCTTTTCTTTAGGTTGCTTTTTTTCATCGTTGGATATATTGACACCGCCAAGATTCATACTGCTGCTGGGGACAACACCGTCTACCGGATGCATTTTTTTCATATGTGCAATCAGGCGATCTTTGCGATTATAACGTCTATCACATTTATCGCAATGGAATTCTTGAAGCGGGACAGGCTCACTGCGGGAGGTTGCCACAACAGCTTCTGCAACTTCAACAGATTTTTGTCTTTCTTCTGGATGAACCAGCTTAATGTGCACGTCCAAATTCTCAGGCCACATAAATTTATATGAACAGTGCGTGCATTGGTGCAATTTTTCACTATTATTACATTGTGTGCGCATGTGGTGTTCCATAATATCCTGAAAAATTTAAAAATATTGGAAACTAGGTTTCAAAAATTATTCATCACACTTACACTTGTGACGGTTCTAAATACACACTTATCACATTTAAGTGTTATATGCTCGTGCTTATGCACTGACAACTGATGCTGACTCATTTCATATCGTCTTTTACAAACTAATCCGCACATTTGACATTTATATGTTTTAGCATTATCGTCCTCATCTGTCTCTGAATCGTCAATGTCCAACTCGTAGCCCAACTCATTCATTATTGAATAATTGTGCTGTGAATGGTAATTATGGTGCGACGATGGCACTGCTGACGTCTCTTGCCGCAGATGAGTGCGTAGTGCAGATAATTTTTGAAATTTTATGTTACAAACACGACAATAAATCTGTTTTATGCCATTCGGCCCTTTACAAGCAGTAATGTGAGAAGCGGCAGCACTCAACTGATGTGATGTTATGCCATGCCTCTTGATGTGCAAGTATAAATTACTTCTTCGGTAAAATTTACGTGGACACCATAAACATGGAAATACAGTAGCATCGACTCGATGTGTCATCATGTGGCGCGTGAGATCCTTCTGCATCTGAAAACTTCTGGAGCACTCCTCGCAATCATATGAACTAGGTGCAAAACACTAAAATACATATTTTTTAATGCAATGACAATATTCACATCAATACCACTTTTATCACCTTCTTAACCTCTTCGCTGTCAGGGTGCATTGTGCGTAAATGCATTTTCAGATTCTCCTTCCACATAAATCGTTGAGGACATTTGCGACACACGTAACGTTTCAGTAAATTCTTGCACTGGTGTCGATAATGCGACTGCAGCAGCTTCTCGCACAAGAAACGCGCCTGACAATGTTGACATACATGGGGAGCGTCATCCCAATTATGATCGCTCGCTTGATGAGCAAAAAGTTTGTACTTACGCGTGAACGTGATGGTACACAAATCGCAACTATATATTGAACGCCTTGGATGCCGAATATTTTGCCCCATAGCAAAATACAATACTTCATCAGGTTCGGACTCTGAATCAGTGTCGTCGGTGTCGGAGCCGCTAATGCTTATCTCATGGCCCAATTCATTGGTGATTGAATAAAATCGATCCATCTGGCCAGCTGTAATATCAGCCATCATGCGCGCCATTAGTAGATCCCTCGACATAGGCGCTTCATCTGGATAAAAAAGTAAAGAAATTTCTGAATTCGATGTTACATGTTGTGACAATGACATATTTGTCCGATGTTCTAAGATATGTGTTCGCAAATCTGCAATTTTTGTATGCTTGGATAAGCATATTTTGCATTGAACACATTTGCAGCCGTTAGGCCGGCAGAGATACGGATCGACAGCATTTACTTTGCGAATAAGCTCACGCTTGCTGGCAGCCGCAGTTGTCGTAGCCATGCTCCCTCCGGAACCATGAACTTTTAAGTGAGTCTGCAAGTGATCCTTTCGATAGAATTTTCTTTCACAATACAGACATTCAAACTTCTCATCATCGGGCATGTGTATCCGTTTGTGTCGCGTCAGATCCTTTGGCCAAATAAACACTTTATTACATTGATCACATTGTAGTTTATTAGCAAGTTGTCGACTTATTTGTTGCTCTGGATCAATGTGTTGCCGTTGCATATGCTGTTGTAAGTTTGCCTCCCACACAAATCGTGCTGAACATCGTTGACAATCGAATCTCTTATATATATTACCACAATCGCGTTTATAGTGTTGTTCTAATAAGGCCAAGCAAACGAAACGTTTCTCACATCGACAACAAGCATGAGGGAAGGAGTCTTCCCCATCAGCATGTGCACTATGTTGATGTTGGAGGATACGTGTTCTCCTGAAGAAAACTTCACCACACAAATCACACGTATAGGGTATTGATAATGGATTTCCGTTTTGCTTTTTATCCGATTCAAAATCACTCTCTGAATCATACAAATCCAACTCATTGCCACTCTCATCAACAGCCGAATAGTAGTTTGTTAAATTTTGTCCAGCAAAATCTATTATAATGCTACGTTCGACCTCTCCTTCTTTTCCTTGACAACCTTGCGGCCAATGAATCTTAAAGTATTGACCTTCTGTATATCTGATGCCAGTCCACCCATCCGAATGACATGATAAATGAACGCGAAGCTCAGCAAGAGTCTTCTGTTTCTCTCCACACAAGCAACATTGGATGCGTCGTTTAATTTGTTCGTGATCCTGTCGCATATGTTGACGCAAATTTTCTGCTTTCAAAAAGGGTTGGCTGCAGATGGGGCACACATGAGACTGACTTTTTAAGTTATGTGTCTCTTGATGTCGTTTCAAGTCTGTGGCATAACGAAAAGTTTTATCACAAAAATTACACCGCAATAAATTTCTTTTCCGCTGTTCTGGACGCTTCGGTACATAAACATTTAGCCGATTAGAGCATTTATGGCCCTGAAGATTCTGTACCCAAACAAATTTCCCCGGACATTTGAGACATTGATATTTTCGATCCTTATTTCTGCATTGTGTACGTGAATGTTTCTCAAATATTGTTGTGTTGACAAACTCCAACTTGCAAACGTTGCATTTGTGGGGAAATTTGTCTTGGGAGTGCTCTGACTTTGAATGTTGAAATAGCTGATATTTTCGTCCCAACTTTACGTGACATAATTCACATTCGTACTTCTCACCAACTGAATCATTTTCAGAATCAGAATCACTCAAAGCCATTTCATAGCCATACGCATTAACAATTGCGTAATACTTCGCAAACAGTTTATGCCTTATGTCTTTGCAAATGTTTTCCTTAATTTCTATTATGTCACCATTAAAATTGGGGAATAACTCTTTAATCACGTCACTTTCAGCGTCTAAATGTAACGTATGGACCTCATTATGTGTTTGCATATGTTGACGTAGAGTTTTAATGTTTGGTATAACCTCAGTGCAAAGTTTGCACTCTACAGAAAGAAATCGCTGCTCAGTATAAAGATGTTCAGCAAAATTCCACTGTATTGGTCTAGGGCGACGAACGCTTTTCTCACGTTTTGCATGAATTTTTAAGTGTTCAGCAAACTTATCTTTTCGCTGAAAGCGATGATGGCATTTGATGCATTCGAATGGAAAAATGCCGAAATGACTTTTTATGTGACGTTCTACATCTTTTTTCCAAGCAAAATCTTTATTACATCTGTTACAATGATACCGAGAATCGTCATTGCAATAGGTGAATTCCGGTTTTTTGGTAGATGACCGCCTACTTCTTTGTTGTTTTGTTAGACTGTCACCAAAGTAAAAAAAAAAAAAATTAAATTTATGAATATATTTCTGTAGTATATGCATATTTATATTTACAGTTTATCTTGATCACTGTCATCATCACTAGTTTCACTATCATTTATATCGGGTTGTAAATTTGAATCTAATACCATTTGTTCAATTTCTGGGCAAGCAAAAATAATACGATAAATTAAATTTAGCTAATAGATATCTCTAGCACTATTACCGGAATCTCTTTTGGAATGAACTTTCCTTTTTTTTGAATTTCTTTGCTCTCGTTTGGAATGTACTTCCTTATGTTTATCAAGTTTATCCTTTCTCTGGAAGAGACGGCTGCATTCAGTGCATTTGTATGGATAGATGTTGGAATGTAACAGCAAATGCCGTTTCGCGTCTTTCTTCCATGCAAAATCTTTGGTACATTTATTACAATGATACCGACCATCATCCTCACGAAATGTACATTCGAAGGTCTGACTGGATAACTGCCCAAGCCGACGTCGCTTCAATAATGGGGTGTCTGAATTATCATCACTGAAATAAATGCATTAATAGCGTTATTGTATATCAAAAAGATGTATATATTAGATCTAAAATGCTACCTCAAGTTATTATCCAGATTAATCAGATTATCTATTCCACCATTATCGTCTTTTTCTTTGTACCAACTAGTTTCCACTGTGGTTATGGGATCTGTGTTTACGCCACCTTCTACTTCAATTTTATATTGTTTACATATATAAAAATTTACAAAAAAATAAATGTTTTACCTGTACTAATGCTATCGGAATCATTTTCTCCTGCATTTACATCCGCGACCACTTCGTCTTTTACAAACTGTACTATTTCATCCACAGTTTTCACGATTTCACATTCATTTTTACCGATGTTAACGAATTCTTCATTGCCTACATCTCCTTGCTCGCTTTTTTCATCTCCTTGCTCGAATGTGACTTCCTTTTTAATTTCTGTTTGTCGAATAGGTATATCAATGGGCGATTCCAATAAACAGTCATTCTGCTTATCTATTAGTTCCTTAGTAGTATAAGTTTTAACATTTTCGATGTACAAAGTAGCTTGTAATTTTTTATTTGCTGCTTGCGCTTGAAGTACAAATGAATACGTATTTTTAAGCTTACGTGAACACTCTCCACAAATATCCTGTGGTAAACGTTTAGCAACTTCAGTGTTATTCTAGATAAGAATAATAGTTTTTTACTGTAATTTTAAATTACTTAATTCTAAAGTAGATACATTAATTTTAGCTATGTCCCATAGAAAATCTGCTACAGTTTTTTTAGGGTGACGATCGTAATCCAACAGTTCTTCAAGAGAATAGAAACTGCCAACATTATCCTCACAACAAGTTCGACATTGATAAGAAACCATTATTTACATATTCTTAACAAAAAAACACTTGAAATCAGAAATACTTTAATAAAAGAGGTCCCTGTATAATTGCACAATAGGAGAAAGATAAGTAAGCAGTAAAACTTACTGTAAAACATAAATAATGCTCGTTCTATGGATAACCGATAACTATCGTTCAAATAATCGAAGTTTATAAAAATGCCGATACTTTTTTGCACAACGTAAATATATTACAGTTAAACAATTGATTATATAACATGAATGATAGAACAAAATCGTTACAATATCAAAAAATTCTCGCTTGTTACACATGTTCTTATGGACACAGCTATAGCTCTGTTATATCATTTATAATAACAAATGATAATTTAAAACAAAAATATTTACCTATTTTCTTAATTCTTGCATAAAATATTTCACTTTGAACAAAATATTAAAATTTCATTGAAGTGAAAGGTATTAGTATATAAACAGCGAAATTGTGCACATACAAAACGAACAGCTGTATTCGTTTATGTACATGCCGGCCATTGTTATGTCGCTGCCTTCTTACAAATGTTCATCTGGAAGGATTCACGACGCCATTTTCACTTCACTGTCGTGTTGCCATGTCCTGTCGCTTTCTATGCGTTCATAAACACTTCATACTGGTAATTTCAGAAACGGTAACTAAAACAAATTACTTTCACTTAAAGGAAATTTTTATCAAATTTTATTTCTTCACCAAAAGTACAATATACTACAAATCATACTTACTTAATACTTACTAAAATCTTTAATCAGGTTGTTGGGTAATTATACGGCGATTGAATCGATAGTGACAGGTAGGTAACCAAAGACGATTATTGGCTATATCGACCAAAAATGTCATCTGATCGATATATATTGGTTCTTACTATAGGATGACATTAGAACTCGAAATTTGGCGGCTATCATTAAATTAGGAATTAAAATGCTCAACTTTAATTTAATTGCTGCTATTAGTGAAAATTTCGGTATTGGTGTGAAAGGTGAATTACCATGGCGTCTAAGGTATTGCTGAATATATGTATATACAATATCACAATAATGACTAACATTTGTATATAAAACAGGTCAGAACTCAAATATTTTTCATCTACTACAAGACGACGTTTAGATCGAAAAAAACAGAATGTTGTCATAATGGGACGAAAAACTTATTTTGCCATACCTGAAGATAAGCGCCCTCTATCTGATCGGCTTAATGTAGTATTAAGTACAACGTTTAAGACCACAGACCTACCAGAAAATGTGTTGCTTTATCCTAACCTGGAAACGGCAATGGAACATTTAGAACAATCTGATTTAAGTCAACAAATAGAAACTGTATGGCTTATTGGGGGTGGTGGAGTGTATAAGGAGGCCATAGTTTCACCACGTTGTAACAGAATATATTTAACAAAGATCCTTCGACAATATGAGTGTGATACTTTTTTCCCCGAGATTCCAGCGGATTTTCAAGAAGTGGAATTGGATCAAGAAATACCAAGGGGAATACAAGAAGAAGGTGGTGTACAATATGAATATAAAATATTGGAGAGGAGAAACGAAAAAAAAAATAAATGATATTTATTTTATGTTTATTTAGCCTGATGTACATCTGTATGGGTAATTGTATCACCTTCAATGCCCCTAGCAACCAACATTAATTCATACAATTGTATCACTTGGTCGTCTTTAAGCATTTCCACTGTGCTTGTGTCCAATTGGTCTCCTATCGTACCTTTGGCTTTGCCTTTCAGACCTAATTGTGAAGTAATTGTTACGGCATACTTCTGTGAAACGAAAAGTCTATATGTATCATTTAAAAACTTAAACAAATGTATGTTATTACCGCCCATTCTGTTATAAATAGTTGAGCCTCCATAGGTGAGCAAGTAATATGACGGCGAAATTCATCGCGGGCATATTTATCACCCAATTCCCGTAGTTCGTCTGGTAAACCTGCATTTAACAACAATATGTAAAATAAGTAATATAACTTTACGGCATTAATAAGTTTTACCTCTATGTAAACGTAAAATCGTTTTATATAGAATACGCACCTTTTGTGCGTGTGTCAGTTGATTAACTATTATTTTAGACATTTATTAGTAGTTATGAGATAGTTGTGTTATGATTTAATTCTGTAATGCTATTTAAATTTGACAAACAGCTGTTTTAAATAAGAAATATCTTAAAATCTTTTTAAGTGGCAATGCTTTATTATTATGTGTTCGCATCGATGATATAATTTATATCACATTGCTGCAATTATTCTTTTTCAATATTTTCGTTTAAGAGATCACAGTAAACAACTTTCATAATTTATATATGATAAACACTATAAATATTATATTTTGAACTGAAACGAACAACATAAAACCGCTGCTCAAAGAAAAGCGATTCTCTAATATGCATAGACTTGTTTATTAAAACTATAAAAATTGCACTTTCGTCGTTGAACATACTCATACAAAGCTACATCGAGCTTTTTTCTCAAATAAAACTTCTAAAAATCACGTAATTTATTATTATTACAATTAACAGAAGCGGAACTTTTTTCCTTTGCAGGAGCTCCTCTTTGTCTCTTTCCAATTATCGGAAATATCGAGTTTCCAGTACCTGTAACCAAATTGCCGCGTCTGAACACCATCTACTTGTCCAAAGTGTTTGTAAATGGAAGTTCCAGCAAGTGTTGCCTCAAACTTTGAATTTTCCATTCAGTAAATTTCAATTTTTTTATTTAGTTTATAGGTTTGTTTGTATAATTTCTATAGAACAAGCATCACTTAAATTTCTTTATTGTTAAGGTATGTATTCGGAGCCAAACATATTATCCATTAATCTTTTCGCTACCAGCATAATTGTAATTGTTTCCATTTCCAGGAAAACGCAACACTGTTCAGAACATGCTAGAATATTTGTCATCGATAAATTATAAATGTGTTTGGAAGTAGCGTGCTACCGCCATTCCTTGAAAAAGTGTGTGTCTAGTCGGACGCGTATAACACGAGAGAAAATTGTAGTTAGAAGTGAAGTAACAAATTGCGATTAAATAATTTCAGTGCATTTTTAATAAAAAACATACAATAAAGGTAAGAGTTTAAATTAGCATAATTACTTCTCATTTGAATAATAATACTGAAAAGGAGAGAATATATGATGATTTTGCATATTTCAAAGCACTTTAATTTTGTGTATAATACACGTGGTTATTCGGTTATTCCGATTGAATTGAAGTTTAGGGGTCCAGATTAGCATGATACAAAGTGAATACGTAGTTGGAATAGTGCAAAGTAAAATATTTGATTTTGAGACTTTTTTTTCTTCTAATTTTATTAATGTGTTAAGCTCAATTTAATCTTCAAATATGTATATATAATATATATATTTCGACATTGGGTATGAACTTTGGAGTGTGACTATCGATTGCTTTCATTTGCTTTTATTAAGGTTTGAAAAATAAGAGTTGCTCACGGAAGGCAACGATGATTTAAATACATATATTTATACTTGGTATTTTTTCATATATATGTATTTTATATTATTATTTTCGCGTGGTTTGCGATTTTATGGCTTCATATCGAAAATAGCGCACGTTCAAAGTAAGCAACCTCTTTCCACTGGAAATTTCCGTAACGATTTTTGTGGAGGTGACGTTCATGTTAGCACTTGTACACGATACTTCTATCTATACAAGTATTAGTTAAAGGTGACTCATAGTAATTCTTTGAACACACTTCTGAATGATGCGATGTAAAAATGCTGATGCCTGGTATGCTTATTTTCACATCCTCTTGATTAGGCTTACAAAGGAAAAAGTTAAAACCTATGCTGAACATTCTAGTTATAAATAAATTGATATTGTTTATACTTGGTTTAAACTTGCTCTTCTGTGGGCGATTGTTAGCACATTTAGATGTAAAACATAGAATTAAAAAATTTTAGGCATAAGCATATTTGCCATTTCCAGTGGCGGTGGCTTTTATCATACTTATATAATTTTTGCGTATGATTTATTTTTATTACTTTACACTGATACGCCATTTTTGTTTCCGAAAAATATATCTAACTTGCCCTAGAAGTTTCTTAACACCAGGCGTGACCATACTTATATACAGTGGCTCGAAGCACTTTGTAGGCCTTGTGCTTTGGATCATTGTCATGATAGAAATAACTGTCATCACTGAGATCCAATTTTTCTTGACTTTTTTTGGTACATTTTCTCTTAAAATGTTAAGATAGTTATTCTGATTCAATATTCCTTCAATAAAAATCAAAGACCCTGGTCCAGAAGCCGAAAATAAACCCCAAACCATTACCGATCCGCCACCATATTTAACAGTTGGTCTCAGATTGCGCAGTTGCAGCTCCTCATTTGGTTTCCGCCAAACATATGGTTTTCCACCGGAGCCAAAAACATTAAATTTACTTTCGTCAGTAAACTTAAAAAATTTCCCGAACGAAAAATCATTATTTTCATGTTCTTTTGCAAATTTTAATCGGATGGTCTTCGTTTGCTGATCAACGGCTTTTGTCGGGCCTTTCTACCATTTAGATCAACTTAATGATGTAGATTTCTAATAGTAGATGCACTAGATTTCTTCCCCAACTCATTTTCAGCTACAACGGCTAACTTTGGAGCGTTAAGGAAAGGATTATCTTTAACCTTTCGTAACAGGTATCGATTATCTGCATCGGTACAAATCTTGTTGCGCGCAGCTTTAAGCTTGTTTTCCACTTGTTTGTTGGTTTTGAAGAGCTTAATTATATCGTGGACAGTAGAACGACTTCTGCCAATAGTTTCAGCAAGTTCACGCACGGATTTTCCATCGTTGGAACGCTTTATAACCAACTTTCTGAATTCAATACTGGTTTGGCTTCTTTGCCTAGACATTTTCAAATCAGAAATCGTAATTCCAACTATATACATATATTAAAAAAAAATATATATATGGGGGAAATTCCCGTTAGTCTGCCAGACACTAATTGAAGTGAAATAAATACAGTGGACCAATAAAATTTACATACACCTAGTTTTATTAAATTACAACAMATTTTTTGGTTTTAAAATTAATGTTTATTGTCGTTTTTTTGTATCTATTTCAAAATATGTATATTTAGCATATATATTGGCTTATCAAAATTTTTATTTTTACACAAATGAAAAAAATACAGGTACAAAAAATTAAAATGAGCTTAATTCGTATCAATAAAGTTAACGTACATTATTTAAAC